AACTGATTAGCTGCACATTAAAAGATGGTTCTATGCCCATGAACTTAAAAATACAACAAAAATAACAACAGCAACAAAAAAAAACACTTCCAGGACTTGGAAGAATATAATTAACACACTGCTGTGCTTTCCTGGCTTTGCCACTCTCTGCGTTTTGCCTTCAGTCTTACATTCCTGTGCTTTCCATTGCCCACACGTATTTCTCTCTGCTGCCTCGCTTTAATCAGCAGAGGAGCTGTGTAAACTGCGCGTTTAAATTACAGGCATTTACATATTCACCAGATATACAACCTACAGATGCCTTTTGCATTTGAAATCCTCTCCGTGAGACGCTGCTCCCTGTAACATTATTTTGAAGCCCTTGCTGAATCCCAGCTCCACCAGGTGGCTCTCTGTCCCTTCACAAACTGCTGCGTTTGCCCCTCGTGGAATCTGGAGTTGTTATGGTTGGAAAAGACCTTCAAGATCGAGTCCAACCGTAAACCTGTCACCCACCTGCCTGCTCAACTATGTCCCTCAGTGCCTCATCTACACATTTTTTTGAACACTGCCAGGGACAGTGACTCCACCACTTCACTGGGCAGCCTGTTCCAATGCTTGACTACTCTTTCCATGCAGAAATTCTTCCTAATGTCTAATCTGAACCTGCCCTGCCACAACTTGAGGCCATTTCCTCTTGTCCTATCGGTATTTTTATTAGAAGTTATATTAGAAGTGTCTGCCAGACACTTCTGAACCCTGCCGGGGCTCTGCAGAAGCTCAGTGCTGCAGAGGCGCTCCCAATCTCCTCCGTTAGGCTTTGCGGCTCATGTACAGCAAAGCTGGAAACGAGACAAAATCCCACTCAACTACAAGTATTCTAACTTGAAGGAATGTTTCATGTTAGCTGTTTAATAAAAATTAGTGTGGTGGCCAAGTGCTAGCAGGTGCAATTTCTGCTAGTACGGACAGGGAGAAATCAGCGTGGTGCTCCTCAGGGAAGAGACAGCACTACTGCACCTGAGGGCAAGGCCATGGCTCCGGGCAAGGCCTTCACTCGCCTCACCACTCCCGTCAGCCTTTAGCCCCCACATAACTTCATTGCTGACCACCAGCTAGCATGGGTGCAGGCCCATGAGGCTACACATGGAGACTTTCACCTTCCAGAGCAGCTCATCTGGACGTGAGGCCTGTGCCTCCAAACACACCAGCTGAGTGATCGCGGCTGCCCAGCTCCCCGTGGTGTGGCACAGCTGGGGCCCTGGGACACAGGCCATGCTCCTGTGGGACACAGGCCGCACTGCAGCACCTGTGCAAAGCGGAGGGTGGTGCGAATCCCAAACGCAGTGCATCGGACCGGGTAAGTCTGCACTACCTCCTGTGCGCAGCACTGACACTTCTGCCTATCAAAAATACAGCTTCATGCTGTCCAGACCAACAAGTGGCTTAAGAAAACCTGAGCAACCTTGAAGAAAATGCTGCCTGCTTTCTGTTGCTTGAGATGTGCAGGGACATATTTTCATTTTTTTTTCACAGCCTAGAAATGTACTTAAATTCTAGCTACTACATTCTAGCACAGGCTAGAAATGTACTAAAAAAAAAAAAAGGAGCTATAAAATAAGAACAAAATATCACAAGGCAACGCTGGGTGTGCCTAAACTGTAACATTAAATTCGAGCTTCTTGTCTCTTCCTTCAAAGCTCTGCTCGGCTCAGCCCCTCCCTGGTTATCCTGCCCGGCTGAGCTTGCTGCAACCCCTGCTCTCCGCGGCTCTTCCCACCTTTGTCTGTTCTCCTGGGAGCTTCTTGCACAACTGTGTCTGTGGCTTTCTCTCCTCTGCACTCTGCTTGGCACAGCTTTTCCCCTTGACCCTTTCCATATGGTAGCTGCTCTTAAAGATTGTTTAGACTGAGTTCATCAGGATTGGCTAAAAACACCTATTTCTGGTTTTCCTAATTTTCCTTTATTCTTTTTCGACAGGAGTTTTTCCATGGAAAGACTTTCCATGGTACAGAAATCAACCTGCAGGTGCCAGCAACTATGCCCATTTTCTTATTAACTAGATTTTGTTATTTCTGCCTGGTATTGATCTTCACAATCTTAAGAGCCGCACAGGTTGCTTTTCTGCTCTAACCCCCTTGCAGTAGGTGTCTGACAAGGAGCAAAGGGTATGTTAGACTGCTGGGAGAACCTCTGTTAAAGCAGTTCATGTCCTGGACCCAACACAGTTCCATGTGCTGTATCCTGAGGGGCAGGCTACGGCCTGTCATGCCATTCAACATGCAGCTTTTGCTTGTTCACATGTAGGAAATCTGTAGGGAAGAAACAGAAATGTGATACCAGCAATGGGACTCAGTTCATTACAAATTCAAATCAATGGAAACAACAGGACGTATTATTTATCTAAGCCTTGCATCAACCTGGCTACTATGCATAATGATCTTAATTAGAAAAGTCGAGCTGAAGCAGGAAGACAGTCTGTCTCCTAGCTTTGAAATTATCATCCCCCTATCAGTATGCTTGGGTAACTTGTAATTAGGGACAAAGGTTACACATAATTTTATATGCTGAAAAACCGGTTTTATACATGTCATTTCAAAAAATATTTAAGAAATAGATCCATGACTTGCTACCCCCATTGCGCTTAGAATTTTTGCTCCTAGATTACTAGTCTGCGCGAGTTACCCAATGGTCTTGAGAAATACTTATATAAGCTTTGCATTTACATAGAGCCCCAAATACTAACACAGTATCAGTCTTTGTATAAGTTTTTTTTTGTGGATCTCAAGTTACTTTCCAAAGTTCCAAAGTAGCTTTTTATATCTCGGGTTTGTTTCTGTGGAAAACACAGCTCAAAAAAGTTAAGTGGATGGTCCAAAAGCTGAGAAAGTGCTTGCCCATTCAAAACTTGACTGGCATGTTACATCAGCCCATAATTATACTCTGTAGCTCCCCACAGAGTTGGTCATACTTTTCTTCTTTTCTCATTTATCTTAAACTGCTATCACTGAAAATGCAGGCTTCTGGTTTTGACAAATTGGCAAAGCTGTATGTGTAAGCTTTCTTTGCAACTGTGTTGATTGGCTGTAATTAGGAAGAAAAAAAAGGTCCTAACTCCAAGGCAGTTATTGCCTTGCTTAATTTAAGCAAGTTATCCAATCCTGATAAATCTGCTGAGTAGGCCCATGGACTATTCACAGTGTCAAGTCAAACATGAAAACAGCTCTTGGTAGGATCGATACCTTATCTTCCAAACTACAACACAAGTCTTCCTGTTTTATCATAGATGTAGTTACTGTGATTTTTTTTCAAGATAGTATTTCATCTTAGAAATGCATTAGAAAAAGATCAAACTCTTTCCATCAAATGAAATGTCTTTGCTTTCCCAGAACAGTATTTTCACAAACAAAAAATATGGAAATCAGAATCACAACTAGGATCTGTTTCATCAAAGTATTAGCTACATTTCTGTGAGGCTGACAATCACCTTTAGCATGTCAGGAATTATATGCATAATTTTCTTTAATGAGTGTTACAAATGTACATCCCACACTGAAAAAAAAAGATCACAGTTGGTATGAGTAATAACTTTTTTTTTCTTGAACATAAAGAGTTCCCCTCTAGCTCTGTACATATCCTTCAACATCAATGCAACCACAGCTGTCAAGGGAGCCTCACCTCTCTCTATGTATATTTTAGTTTTAATTTTTTCCCATGCTTTCACTTAGTGGACTCTTTTTTTTAAAGGGACCTAAACCAGTTCTCAAGTTTTGTGGGCAAATTCATTGCAATAACAGATCTGTGTGTTTAGACATCTTTAAACATTATTATTAGTGTACAAGAAATTAGAGACCTGCATCAAGATCTGGAGGTTTTGGGGTTTTCTTAATTGAAAGAGGGCCTGAAATCGTTTCCCTCATTCGAGGCTCTCCAAGCACTTTATGCAGCTAAGTGAATTCCTATGGTCTCCTTTGGTAAGAGCAGTGTGAGCCCCTGTGGCCCTTCCCGGGCTCCTCATGTCCCCTCCTGGGCTCCCCATGTCCCATCAGGGATCCTCATGTCCCCTTGGTCCGTCTGCTCCCATGTCCCCTCAGGGCTTCTCATGTCCCCTCACGGCCTGAGCTCCCATGTCTCCCCTTGGGCTCCTCATGTCCCCTTGGCTCCGTGTCCCCTCAGGGCTCCTCATGTCCCCTCAGGGCTCCTCATGTCCCCTTGGCCCCGTGTCCCCTCAGGGCTCCTCAAGTCCCCTCGGGGCCTGAGCCCCTGTGTCCCCTGTGGGCTCCTCGTGTCCCCTTGGTGCCTGAGCCCCCTCTTCCCCACAAGGCTCTCCATGTCCCCTGGGGGTCCCCATGTCCCCTCGGGGCTCCCCGTGTTCCCTCGGTGCCCGAGTCCCCACTGCCGCTCCTGGTTTCCCCA